GGGGGGGGGGCGGCACCCAGGACCGAGCCAGAGCATCCCCAAAGATGCTGGGCTGCCAGGAACGCCAGAGGCCAGCCCCATGGCTCACTTAACAAGGGGGACCTTCTCAGTCCCACTGGGAATAAGACAGTCTCAGAGACTGGATGCCTAGGGCTGGTCATGGCCCCACCATTTCTTGACCAGCCATCCCAACAACCGAGGGCAAAGGGTGGGGGCCACGGGGGGTGGGGAGCAGAAAGGAGTGGAAAAACCAACCAAGGAATACGCTGGAAGGAATGGGTTTGCTGAGCGATGGGGAAAGGAAAAAATCAAACAGAAGCGAAACCGTACTAAAATAAGAACCAACGGTGGTGGCGATGATGAGAAAACACAAAACAAAAACAAACCATAATAAAAGAAAAGAAAAGACGCCATCCAGCAAAACTCCCAGTCTGATTACCTACCTTCCACGCTTCCACTGCTAACTTACAAGACTTTCTTACGAGGGGGGTGGGTAGTGTGGACGGCAGAGTGACGAGCTACGGGGCCAGACTGAGCTCACCATTGGGGATGGTCTCTGGGCGCAAGCGGCCCTTGCCCCGGTGCCCGGCGAGGGCACGGCACAGTTCCAGTGTGTCTGGAGAGACCCACGGCTGAGCAGTCTGGTCTCCACCTACCCTTGCGGTCAGCTTGGGGAGCCCGCAGCCCCTGGGGACAGGCCTGGCCCTGAGTCTCTGCTGCCAGCTCTCATGGTCCCCACCCGTCTTGGGGGTGAGCAGTGGGATGGTCCCCTCTCTCCCACTCCCTGCCCTGGGCCACCCCGGAGGCTTCAGTGGCCAAGGCCACTTCCTAGGAGGCCCAGCGGGGCCACGTCCTTCACAATCCAGCCCAACCTGCATGCCGGCCAGCCGGAGTGGGGGGTGGGGAGCGCTGCACAGACAGATGCACAGATGCACGTGGTGGTTGGAGATCATCCGAGGAGGCACGCCTCCTGGCAGTGAGACCCATAGAGGTTTTGGGGGCCAAATTGGGGCTCTGAGCTCGTGGCCTCAAGCCACGGGGGCTGGGGACACGCAGGGTGGGCCGTCTTTGTGAATCTGCTTGACACCAGCGTGCTTACCTTGGTGGCACAGGGCCAGTCTCGCGGGGCTGTCCGAGCTATAGGCCACCCTCACTGACTCCACCTCATATACAAACTGTGCCCAGACGCCCCTGGGCGGGGAAGGGGGGCGGGCAGGGGGAAGGGGGCGGCTGGGCTGGCTGCATCTCCGAGGCTCCGAGTTGGTGCTGCCCTCGGCTGACCCTGGCGCTCCTTGTGCGCATGCCGGGTTGGGGGGGGCATGAGGAGTTAACCATCAAAGCTCTTCTGGACACAGATGCTGGGCAGAGGCAGCAAGGTGGGGTGGGGGTGGGAGCCACATGGGAGCGGCTGAGCAGAGAGGGGAGGGGAGGGCTCAGGAGAGAGGCAGAAAGAGCAGGAAGGGACCAGCTTGAGACGGGGTGCTGCGGCCAGGACGTGGCCCAGAGGCTCTTCCGGGTTAGAGGAGGGCTTAGCCACGACAGGGGACAGGGCGGCCGGGCAGGCACAACGGTCCAGGGATGTTACATGCGGCGCGGTGCCAACCCCCGCCCCCACACCTGGTGTTAGCTATTGTCCACCCCCACAGCCCTTGAGTCAGCCTGAGGTCGGGATTGGGGTGTCTCAGGAGCCCAAACCCCAAACCCCGGGTTTGGAGAGGAGGGAGTGTGGGTGGCTGTGTGCCGGGCTTTACCGGGATGATGGGGTGATAGTGGGGACCCCGGCTTTGCCACACCTAGCAGCAGTAGTGTGGAGCCAACAGGTCCTGCCTGATGCAGGGGTGTGGGGTGGGCAGGGTCCTGAGCTCAGGGCAGACGAGGCTGCAGCCAAGTCCCCCTGTTCCAGGAGCCAGAAAAGTGGGGTGTGGTGCCGGTGAGAACTCGAGGTGTAGGTGGGCAGTGTGTCCAAGCGCCCCCCACCCCCAGCGCTGCCCAGCCACAGCCGCAGGGGCCGGCGGGCGAGACACCTACTGGACTGCAGCGTGCGCTGCCGCAGCACCGCGGTGAAGGCGCCCAGGCCCTGCTGCGAGCGGGCCGCCAGGCGGAAGCTGTACTCCGTGTGGGGCTTCAGGTCATCTACCACGAACGCAGTCGCTGGGTCAAAGGTCCGCCCGACCTGGGGGCAGGCAGACAGACAGACAGACAGACAGGCAAGGGGCAGAGGAAGGGAGTTAGAGACAGCCAGGGACACAGAGAGAGAGACAGACCGACAGACAAGCAGGGGCGGAGGGAAGGAGTCAGAGACAGCCAGACACAGCGAGAGAGACAGAGGGACACACGGGGCCATAGACACAGAAAGAGACTCACAGTCGGAGAGAGATGGGGACATGGAGAGAGAAGGGCAGACAAGACACGGGAGACAGGGGCAGCAGAGAGAGTCAGAGAGAGAATATGGACAACAATGGAGACAGAGACACAGGGGGGAGCAGAGGGGGACCCCCGGGGTCGGGGTGTCGCAGGAGAGTCGGTGAGAGAGAGAAGTGGAGAACCGGAAGGAGAGAGCAAACTGCGAGACAGGGGA